GGCCTGGACACAGAGCCCAGCCACAGAGCCCAGCCACAGAGTTGACAGAGTTCAGGGGCGGCCAAGAGGAGGACAAGAGGAGGACAAGGCCTGGGCAAAGAGCCCAGCCACAGAGCCCAGACAGAGTTCAGGGGCGCGGCCAAGACGAGGACAAGAGGAGGACAAGGCCTGGACACAAAGCCCAGCCACAAAGCCCAGCCACACAGCCCAGCCACAGAGTTGACAGAGTTCAGGGGCGCGGCCAAGAGGAGGACAAGAGGAGGACAGGGCCTGGACACAGAGCCCAGCGTTAACGCCAAGTCTCTGTGACCATCTTGCTACCTGGGTGCCGTGCCCGCGCCGTACCCGTTGCAGTTCTCCCGTGCCCGTGGAAGTTGCAGTGCCCGTGGAAACCATTATGCGCGAAAAACATCCATGCAGTGGAGTTCACCCTCAGCCACGAATCGAGAAAAAACAGTTGTGGCCAGTGTAATTCCTATATTTTTCATTTGTTCTTTTAATGTTCCTGGTCACCTTTATTAGGACACATGTGTCAGGACATTCACACCAGCTCATAACTGGCGCAATTCCTGACTCATCTAGGGCTAGCAGATTTTCTGCAATATCAGGCTGAGGCTCGGCTTTCATTTTTGGGGTTTGCAGTGTGGGGTTGGCGTTTGTTTAGGGCAGACGCCAAATGGCTCGACAGGACGGTTCGCTCATTCCACAGAAGAGGCGACAAATTCTGCAGATCAAGTGTCGGGCTCATCCATGGGCTTGCCGCAGCTGTGGTCAGATTTGGTGGAGCTCGGGCGCTCCTGAGTGTTGCAAAGGCCTTTGCCAGAAGGCAGCGGATGTTGGTGGCAATTCTTCAGTTGCAAATTTGTATGTCCATTGCATGCATAATTGTTTGTAATGTTCGATCCTGATTAGTAAAGGGGGGTCCCCCCCCCCCCTCAAACAATTAGGGGTTCCTCTATAATAAACTACCACCAAAACAATTCTGGATTCCTGTGAGGATTCCTTTTGTAATTGATTGTAGTATTCAGCTTCCTTTCTCAGGTGCTTTGTAATTGTTCTCAACAATCCTTTTGCTTTGCAGCCTCAGAACTTCAACTCAAGAGAAGCCCCAAGCCCTCAGCTTCTTCCTCAGCTTCCATGGCTTCCTTCTCAGGAGCTAAGTAAAGGGAGATTGCATGCGCATTTTTTCCAGTGGAAAAAACTTTTCACAATTGAGAACCCAAAAACAAACCTTAT